GAGTACGTTTACAATTCAAAATCTGCGTCACAACGGCCCCTCCAGCAGCCCATTCAGTCCCCCATAATTTAGCAGTTAAGTAAACCGCAATAATAAAAATCTGCGAAAATAGAAACCAACAACCAGTAGAACCCTAGTTCACTACTCATATCAACTGCATGTCGGCAGTATATCTTCTAAAGAACTGCCAATATGAGATTCTGGATGGGCATCTATTGTTTGGAACTGAAACAGAAGATCTTGGCGAGCACTGGCCTGACAGTGTCTCAAGAATGCAAGCGTAGAACGAAGGTCAGATTCCTGAATGTAAACTCAGAACGCCCGGAACCTACTGCTCCACCAAAATCTCAACAGGAAAGCCGGCGAGCATCCAGGCCAGCCAATCATTCAAAGCAAAAGCCATTAAGTCCTCATGCACCCCACAGAAGCAAGACCGAATGTGATCAGCGTTCAGGCATTTCATAAAGGCAAGATCGGTGTTCACTAACGCCTATCAGACAGCCTGGATCAATGTCAGGAAGTTCTCTTTAAATAGCGCGGGGCCGTTGTAACTTTTGCTCTCGCACTGGCACGCACTCACGTTCTCGCACTCGCTTGTTCGGAATATAGCTACTGTGTTCCCTTCTGTGAGTCTTTTTTCAGGAACTGAGCACTGGAGGTGGGTCAGCGCGAATACCACAGATTGGCGAATCAGCAGATATAACAACTTTCAAACCTAAAAAAATGTACAGAGGTTGAGAACATGTTTTAACATCTATAGTGGTGTGCACCAAGCCAATCAAGCTGGATGCCGTCAGTAATGTACAACACTTACTGGTGCATCCAATATAAATGCAACCAGTAGGGCCATTCCTCGTGAGTAATCTTGGGAGAATAAGAAAAAATCCTGAAGATTAACCAAAAAATGTTAACTATTAGGATTATTGAACTATCATGACGTAATCTCATGCCGATCAGCGTTGAACAAGTTGCAAACTTAATTGCAGTTCAGTAACAAAGTCTTTCTGAAGTAAATTTGTTCAAAAATATGCCCGTCGATGGACAAACGGGCCAAGGTAACCCTGAATGTCAATATTCCAAACCCTGCTGACAAAACCCTTCGGTTGTCCGAAAAATGCCCCAACTCGCAAAGTAATTTTAACAGAAAACCAAACTAAACCCCTCAGGTTTTTATGAGAGACTGATTGTGTTGTACACAGGCTACCTCATATTTCAGTTGCTACGAAATTCGAGACATCGCAGAGTATTATCTCGAAGGAAACTACTCACAAAGTTGCTGAAAACTCTTCGGCAGCCAAAGACCTGTTTTGCTTTTTCAGTTCGGGCTCATCCTGTGGGAGTAGCCCCTGAGCTTCCGTCAACCTTATGTCCTACTTTGAAACAAATTGGACACCTTTCGACAAATACACCCACTTGCATGTCACTTTTGTTTTTGCTGGAGACTAAACTGAATCCCAGTTAAATATGGGACAAGAGGGACTGAGGGACTGCGCCTACCCGATGAGCCCTAACAAGGGTGAAACCGGTCGTGGGCTGTCGGAGAGGTTTTAGCAACCTTGTGAACAGTTTCAAACGTGTAATCAATCTCGTCTACACTATTCTCCAACCGAATACGCCGCCTAACGTGGCAGTTTGCACGATATTCGGGGTTTCGTGGTACCTTATCTCGAAGGAATGCATTACTCATAAAGATACTGGAAAAGCTTTTATAACCCACGGTGGTTTTACCCGTCTTGAGACTCACCAAATAGGCGTAGTTCCCGAGTTCCTCTTGAACCCAACTTGTGTACAGTTCGACAAGTACACATTATTTTGGTTTTAGCGGAAGACCCAACATAATTCTAACTGAATCTCAAGGTTACGGCTAAAATTTGGGGATTGCATCTTCACCGCATTCCCAAGAAGGATAAAATCGGTGTTGGGCTGTCGAAGTATTTTCAGCAACCTCAAAAGTAGTGCATTCCTTGCAACTACCGTTTTATGTTGCTCAGTAACACGAAATGAGGAATGAAAACCCGTTAGATGTAGGTGTAGAGCTACTTATTACGAACGGGCACAATAACACGACCAATATTTTTTCGGATTCAGGCTGGTCTAGCATACTTAGTGGATGGGCTCGGCAAAGTTTAGACTAAATCGTCCGAATAAGAGAGGCAAAACCAGAAGTGATGAAACTTCCTTTAGTAGCATTTTCACAGACAGTAAGAAATAAAAAGCAATTATTTACCCATCTTTTCTTTGCAGCAGTCCCTCTGCGGACAGAGCAACACTGGCTAAGTGTAAAAAAGGACTGAGGAATACGCTTCACAAGTACACCATGTTTGACGTTGATGCTACTGGCAAAATGGTCGGAATCTGCAGACTGGGATGTCTTTTCCAACAATGAACAATGGGGGATAATAAGTACACGAGCAAGCTGCGATTGGGTTACCAACTACTCAAGAATCTGTCCTCTCCATTGGTTCAGTACATCGATATACGTGCATAAGGGTATATTTCACTCCTAAAGGTTTCTTGGCCACATTTCTGCTCCATAGCCAAAAGCAATGAGTAGATCGAAACACTTCATTGCAAACAATGGATGGTATTGTGTCCATATGTAAGTGGCTCACTTACGTTAATTGGCTATTGATCGGTCGATCTGTGTGCCCCGCTTGAATATTAGGTGGCAAACTCTCCCTACCTGTGCGCACTTTAACAGGCAAAGTAAGATTTCGAAAAAGTGACCTAGTTAAGCACTGAGACTGGCTAAAATGCAACCTAGGAGACGGCGCAGTCCACTCTACTGTTTTCTTTCTCGGGACTCAAGAATCCGTGCACATCCAACAAAATAGTCTCTCCGCAGATTCCTTCATTTGGTGGCCTGTGGGTTGGTGCAAACCATGTGCTTTCTGGACGGAAACTAACTCTGTTCCACGCCCTACTATGATCAAATCCAGTGATCATCTGGAGATTTACAGCCAATATCAGTTCTCAAAGTCATGTCCGATTTTCTCTGTCTACTTTTACCCTGCAAAGATGACCTTCTGGTGTATGAAAAATATCAATCACCACAGCGCACATCTTACACTGAATCCTCGTTTTTATTAATTCACAACCAGTCCTTTGCGTTTCTTGATAGTGACCAAGATGGTTGCGACATCATTTTATCTAAGCAGTTTACATAAACTCCAGAAGTGCTTTCACCAGGTGATGCGCGTCTATCAACTGTATGGCTTAACGGCTATCGGACCTTTCCGCACAATCAATCANTAGATAAGTCTCCATTCCTGCTAACAGCCAGCTTTGTTTATTCTTTCTTTTAATTTACCGTGTTTTACGTTCAGCTGAAGGCCATTCAGCGTCCACCAGCCGATTTCAGGTGCTCGCTCACTGTTTTTTCACGTTTGACGCACGCGGAACTCTCCAGCATCTGTCCCAATCCTATTCGCAGCCTGACTCTGCCACGCAAAACTTCAGTGAAAAACAGGTTTGCTTAGGCTCACCTGAATTTAATAAAATGTGTCTGGATACTTATGAGTTCACCTGAATCACCCCTTGCATTTTCCGGCAAATCGTCTGGCGCACTTGTAGCATTTCAGCCTTAAATTTTGATGCTTTCTGTGACACTTATTTAATTCATTCATATCTGACTGTCACATGATTTTGTTCGTCAAGGTTACAAGCGGAAATAAATCGCTCCTAATCTTCCTGTTGAGTTTAGAGTCCACAACGTTGACCCAGAACAAGGACCTTTGGATCCAATCACCCAGTGCTATTCAGTGTCTCTGTGCGATGGAAAATGGATCAACACAACAATTCAGCTCACGAGACGTCGCCAACTGCAAAAAATATATTCAAATCGTGATCGAAAAACTCGAGACCTAAGCATTCTTGTGGATGCGAAGTCTTGGACAGCTTCTAGTGCATTGCACAAGCCAAGCGAACTTGGGAACTCGAAAGCAAATGTCATAGATAATCATTTCCCCGAGACCAGTTTTGTTTACTGTGCCGTACGCATGCGATCTGACTGAGCGTGGGGACTCTATAATTAGTCTCAGTATAAGAATGTGTAAGAATGCCCAGTACAAAATTATTCATTTTGTGAAGTGTGCACTTGATGTCATCATTTCAATGTAAACCTCTCCAGAGAAACCTCGGTAAGGAAACGTACATACTTCGAAGGGCAAGACCCCAACTGGCGTGTAAATTCCCGGCTGGCGCTGAAGATGCGAGATTCAAACTAGTTTTTCCCTGGTTATTACTATGTTCCGTAAAAGAGTTCCTTAAAATGAGCCGCCTCTACTCATTGCGGATTGAGCTACTTGTTCTGGATTGGGTACACAAGTGAGCAGCATCCAGCTGCATACGACTATGCTACGCTCAGCACACTTTGCCGTATACAATGATAAGTAATAATCGTTCAGGTGTGACACCCTTTTGGTCCCTGCCTGCCATGCCACCAGAAAGCAACACGAGGGCAGAGATACTGTCAGGTTGCCTAAGCATAAACTAGGGTAGTGGAGAGGCAGAGGTCGGGTTCAAACCATGAACCTTCCGGTTAGTAAATTCGCACTCTAACAATTCAGCCGTCTCGCCTTCATACCATACACAACAAACATAAGTATATAAAATTAGCATTTTTACCGGTGATTAGTTTGAAGGAGAGGACTTCATACGAAAGTGAATATGCGATGGAGTCGACTCTTCCAATTTTTCAATCACAATTGAGTGTAGACTGAATAAAAAGGTCAAAACAGTTGAACACGAAGAACTTTTAGCCGCAGGAGTTACGAAGTTTGGCAAACTGACGAAAAACAAGATGTGAATAAACCCCATCGTTTTGTTTATCCACAAATAAACTTACTGTTTCGTCAGACCTGATTAGGTTGTTTAGGTACGTCACATACCAGTTTTTCTTGCAAAACGTAATATCCGACTTATTTGGATCTTGAGGAAAAAGCGGTCCATCGTTCGAATGAATGAAAAGACCCGTGTACAGAATCAACACCAGCATGTACATGGGGGTTAGTCTGGAATAGACGGAAAATTTGTCAACGACTGATAGAAGGGATGCCGGTTTAGAGTTTGTATTGTGTACAGGCTGTCAAGATGATCCATGTAACACTAGTGTCCTATAGAAAATTCACACGTATGAACCTCAAAAGATTCGCATTAAAATACGTTTTTTATAGCTGCCACGTGATTGAGTTTCCATCCGCTTAAACTGAACATGTGGCACGGTAGAATCTGGTAGTTGAGTTTGCGTGAACCTGCCCTGTTTAAACCTCCAAAGTCTGGTATTCGAAAGGCACACGTGGGGACAGTCCCTTTCTGACTAAGCCATTTGGAGGGGCCCACCAAAGACGATCAAATCCAGAGGTAAACCAGAAGATACGAGTACGGAAAACCCATGGAATGTTTTCTTGTCAAAGTAAATATGGATGCTATCCGATGCCACAGGTTTCAAAAATTTTTCCTTCCATGTGTGCCACAATCAAGACAAGAAACAGTCTTAAAAAACTACCAGAGTTTGACCATACACAGAATTTTACCTCAGTAAAGTTATTTACCCATAGCAACCGAAAATATAATCACCAAGTGATGTTGCAAGAACTTTCATAAGAACCCAAAGTTGTGAGAGCTTACTATTCTGCACACAGCTGAAGGTTACGCCATACCAGAGGCTATCGAGAACCATTAGCTTGCACCTCAGGAGACCTGTTATCCAACATTGTTGTGGCTCCCTTTCTCAAGCTAGATGATCTCGATTTGGAATGAATATGACCAACGGATGACCTGTTTTATTCAAAGCTACAGGGGCGACATGACTCAGTGTTTAGAGCGCAAATTTACTGACCGTAAGGTTTATGGTTCGGACCCGATCTCTGCCCCATGACTTCCTCTGTCTAGGCTTGGGCAACCTTCTAGTATCTCAGCTGTGGTGCTTGCTTTGGGTGGCATGGCAGTTAGGCACAGATGAACCATTATCTTTTTTGTCTTACACAAAACTACTCGTTTCATGTAATATCTCGATAGATGTCAAAAGCTGACCTACCATCGTTAAGCACGTTCCTGGAATGATAAGCTGCCCATCACATCAATTTTATTCCATTCGTTTGATGCCATACCATAATTTACGATGCACAAACCTCTAAAAAAATTCACCTGTATACATCCTCACTCTTACTCCATTTGCCGCTAGGATGCTTTGAAATTTTACGAACAGAGAGTGGATTCACTACTGATGGATAGTAACCAAGGGACAAAAACATGTCCGGTTGTAGCAAGTTTTCTAAACCCTCCATGTAAGCATCGAGAATGACAAGTGGTAAACTGAGTTGACTTCCATACTAAAAACGTAGCTTCCAGGTGTAGTTGCGACCAGATTACCGGGAAAACAAACACTATCATCTGTGGGAAAAGCCCGTATATCCGGCGTAAGGTCAGACTAATTCTTCCAAATGAGAATAGTATGCATGGGGGTGTACTTTGAAAATACAGTCGTTCAAAAATAACTTAACATTAATTGAATCATTTGGAAAATGTTTGGGACCGATTGGAAAGTCATCGTTTCAGAGGGGTTTGTTAAACAATCGGTGGGTTTATTGCTGGGCCAGCAATAAATCCACCGATTGTTTACCAAACCCCTCTGAAAAGTTAACACTAATTGGTTTTTGATCCATGTGGCTTTGATCTGTTCACCGAGCTTGGCAAATGATCTACAAACATTTCATCAATATACGAAGAAACGTAATTTGTGCACAGCTGGTCGCGTACCTCGTCCTTGCCTGCTTGCCCGTATATATGCCTGAAGATTGTCTGTTATCTCTCAAAGTGATTGGCTAATTAAAAGATAGTTCTCTAGTGCACCCATTGGTCCATTTGTGATCTCTGTAGCGTTGTAGCCTGCTTCACATTGAGTCGTTTGGATATCCCTGAGCTGGTAGTCTGTACCACTGCTTTACTCTGCTCCTTTTTAGTTTTCACTACATTGTGGTCTCAACCTCTCTGGATTGATTGTTTGATGGCAACGCCCTACATCCTCCATGTAACGACTCGTCTCATTGCGTCCGCCGGTTAATCTGACGGTTAAATTTATTGGCTGGGCGTCTCCTACGAGTAACTTGATGTGTCCGTTTGAATCTTGTTCTCCTAATCTTCTGCGAGTTCCTCGTCGTGTTTCTTATGAATGCGGCCTTCCCTTGCACTTGGTGATTGGTAAATTTGGTCAGTTTCCATCTGTTTACTGATAGCTTCTTTAGTGGAGTATCAAGCTTTCATAGATTCACGTTCTTTGTTCTTGCTTGAGCCGGTATGCAAACGTCACTCTAGTCGAACTCGTGTCCTACCTGATCTTTGTGCATGAAAATGAGAGAAAATTAATCAAGTCTTTTAGTCGAAAGCTTGTGTCAATGAATTCCAGTGGATGGCTTCCTTCCAGTTTGTCGTGATCCTAGCACTGGAACCCATTTCCTTCTTGGTTTTGGTGGTATCCTTAGCAAGATGTTCTCTGGTTTGTGGGCAACCTCCAAAAGAGTAGACAATCTTCGGAAGAGCGCTGCTCAGACATGATTACAGTATTCTATCACCAGACAGGAAAACTCACCGTATGAATCGATGAACGACGTACATGGCCCAGAACTTTACTCGTGCTGCCGTGTTCTTCACGTGCCAGAACCGTTCCATTGTAATGTAGGTAGTCAGTAATCCACTAAATGATGAAAAGAGTGGAAAAACAGACGATCACAGAATGAAATAATTGGATCGATACAAATGAAAAATATGTAGTGTCAACTCATTGAATGGTAACACACTAGGTATTTCCCAGGTTAGAAAAAGGGTGTTATTGAGTCATCACTTGTGGTTGGACACAGATAAGTCACAGAAGAACACGTTTTGTTGCAATACACATCTTTCCCGTTTTGCTTCACTCTTCAATTTAACAGTCCCGTAGCTTCCAACCCCCCAAATAGAAAGTACCAACATAGTAAGACCAATCGTTTCTGCCGGTGTTGTCGGGTTCCCTTTCGATCACTTGGCGTCACTATTACGGTTTTTCCATTATCCAGCTTTTTTCTCTCCGTCTCAAAGCGGTGTTTCCTGCGCGTCTATTTTCAACCAACAAAGCTCACAGTGTGTCATTTATTTCGGGAACTGACGTTGCTCAATAAAATAATGGACCCAACTTTATCGACGAGAAAATTTCTTTTAGATACGGATTCTTGGGTGAAATTTTGGATGGAGCTTAATGCAATCTAGAACTTACAAGGTTTTTAAAACCAGAGAAGCTCATCGCGATGAGAGCCACGAAAGTTTGTGTGCTTTAACAGAGTGCCGGTTCTTCAACCAATCGCAAATGATGTTTCTCACATAAGTTTCCTCGGATAAGTTATTTCCAACAGAAACAGCTTTCGCACCGGTTCGATCAAAATTGTCCATACTGTTCAGCGACTCAACTCACGTATACTTCATCTTTTGTAATAATTGGAAAACCATACAAAAAGATGCCCTAGCCTTCGTTCTAATTTATTTTGCTTTTGGACAGTCGATAAGGTAGATCAATCGCATATGACATTTAGACACTAGGCTCTAGTGCATTTCCTGTTACTCATGTAGATTTCACCTGCTTGCCTGGCTTGACCTGTAAACGTATCGTCATTCCCTAGTGGAGTCATCTTCAGTGCGCGCTTGGCTCAGTGAATGGTCACAAATGGTTTGCAAGTCAGTTGTCAAAGTCGGTCAGCATATCATCGACTATTTGAGGATCAAACAATAAACGCAACCTAATGACCGATTGTTCTGACACCTTGATAGGTTCACCTTTGTTGAGAGCCCTGAGAGGGGCTTGCGCCTATGCGCAGTTCGTGTCGTGCACAACCTGATTGGTTCGCCCATCGATCGCTCAGACGCCATGTGTCATACTTGTACGTGATTGGACGAGTGGCCATAGTAGACATTGATTTTCTGTCTGGATGATTGGTTTGCTTCTCTATTGACTCGCACGCCTCGCGTGGCAAGATTTGCCATAGGGAACCTCGTCTCGAAGAAAATTGCAGTCTGCAGTAAAAAGCACAGTCTTCTGGCTAACGTGCAACAGAGTTGTTGCGGTGCACAATGCATCTTCAAGCCATACAATTCACACAATTATGTGTCAAAAATACTCAACTAATACTACTCAATACTAATTGATGGAATATTCAATTATACCAACAAGTAGTGAAACTTACGACATGAAAAAGAATATGTCGACCGATAACGTGCCAACCATAATGACCTCTGCGCTGGGTTCATGGAAGATTTTCTGAGCAGCCAGAATCGGGTTATCTAGGTAGGACAATTCGAATCAGTCGGAAGGGTAACAACTTAACAAAAACTTCAGATATTCACACGGTTTTGCCCAGGATTGAGCGTTTGTTTTCGTGCTAACAGAATTGTTAAACGTGGTACACGTGACCATTCTTTGTAGGCCTATCTAATGAATACAATCCTGGCGGAACCCCATGAAGATATGCCCGTACCATTTTAGATAAACGATGATTCCAAAAATGGATCAAGGTCTCAGTGTGAAGCCACAGACTGAGAGCTGCTGAACAGTTCATTTTGAATAATCTTCAGCAGTCGTGGTATCGGAAACTGAAAAAATCGACGAAGCATCATTGTTTACTAGTTTTGAATGAGTAGTTTGGTGCATCCCAGATTATTGTCAGTTTCAGTTTCTTTGCTTAAAGGGGTATTTTTAAGGGTGAAACACCGTCTGCTTAAAAAGCGGCACGAAATGCTTTCGGGAAAAATCTTTTAAGAAAAAGCCTTTCAGGATTTCCACATAGGATGCTTCAGAAACTCGCTATGCTCGTAAACACAGCTGAGACATATGTATACATTTTATCGCGCTGGGTGGAGCTGGTACTGTCGTGCATTTCATGCGCTCAAAAGGCGTCGGACTTACTACAGGCAATATACAGAGATAGAGGTTCTATCGGATTGGTTAAATCGACCGACAAATCAGATTTTTGGTTTTAATTATTGATCGGGTTTATGCCTTCGGGCATGCCAGCCTAAACTGCCAGTGGCCGTATGCACATTGTACGCATATCTCAACGTATTCGTTGATGAAACATGGGGTATTCAAGGCACACGTACGTAGGATTCTTATGCATTATCATTTACAGACTATGGTATCGAACTTATAATATATGCATGGTTTATTAGATGTATGTCCGGTTCCAATAAAACTTCCGTTTTACAAGTTTAAACCTACTCGCGGAAAGAACACTGAACGCAGAACAATGAGCGAATATGATCCAGACCATGGCGAAGAATCGGATCCCGTCCAGACATGTAAGTGGATGTTCACGTTTGATCCCATCTGGTCCGGTTCTCAGTTGCGGAGTTGCACACCACAGCTTCCACGCGTTGAAAGGCAGTGAGTAGGCGCATGGAAGCACAAGCGTTGGGTGGCAGTTTATGAGATCTGTGAAAAGGAAGGCACTGATATTCATGCTGATAAATGGGTAGAAGAGTAGAAGTCACGTGTAGTCCGTGATCACCCCTGTCTGGTACTGAATTCAGAACAATATAGTAAACAGGTTGGACCATTACATCGGTTTTGGTTTACCTGAGGACAAAATGTATGTCGAAGGAACATGAAGTAAGGTTTCGCAGCCCAGGAAAAGGGTAGCACCGATAACTAGTGTTGTAAACTGATAATTTCGGTAAGTATGTAGGTCGTGATCATACGTGTGTGGACCAAACGGAACCTGTAAGAATTGCTAGTGAGTAGATTTGCTGTCAACAGTCGTTTACGGTGATCAACTTATGTTCTCGCGTCAGTGTTCCTCAAACGTTCTCAGGGGCCGCACCACTTACGACGAATATAATTACTCTTGCACCGCCGAGTACCTGGTTAAAGAAGAGTAGCAAACAAGAGCAGTGATGATGACACTCAAAAAAGTATGAATTAGTTGGTTCACTGACAGGATGAAATCTATGTTGAATATTGCCGAATCTCCTCCACTACTATGAAGTAATAAGTAGCTTAGAGGTAGGAAAAATTTACTGGATTTGTGGAACTTCCTTACGAGAACTAGTCAATAACTGACCACGTGATGTGCTTCCCGTTATTGACAGATGAGTAGCGCTGTTTAAGTGAGAACGAATCACACTGCTGATCAGCCACTCGTGGATGGACGTTTGTGGGTCTCAAAACTGAGTTTCGTGAGATGCGTATTGATGATGACTTTCAATATGAATGGAATAGCTGTACAGCGGTCCTCGCCTCAATTTCATGACGGAATATCAAGTAAAATTACAAAAGCTGTGTACGCTGCAATCCCTGTTTTAGGTTAGTTTTGGAACATATTGTGGTCAAAAGAGCGAAACAACGGAGCTCGTAAAAAATAAGCGTTTGAATGATGATGACATGATGTTAGCGCTGTTTAAGTGAGAACGAATCACACCACACTGCTGCCACTCGTGGATGGACGTTTGCGGGTCTCAAAACTGAGTTTCGTGAGATGCGTATTGATGATGACTTTCAATATGAATGGAATAGCTGTACAGCGGTCCTCGCCTCAATTTCATGACGGAATATCAAGTAAAATTACAAAAGCTGTGTACGCTGCAATCCCTGTTTTAGGTTAGTTTTGGAACATATTGTGGTCAAAAGAGCGAAACAACGGAGCTCAAAAAAATAAGCGTTTGAATGATGATGACATGATGTGTGGATCGATTAATCCCAATAACTCATGAAAATATTATCAGACTGAGAAACCAAGAATTTAACAACACTAGAACTCGTCAACAGCTTTACTGTCATTGTGTTGTGAACAAACAAAATTTTCGGACATTCAAGTAACTAGTCCACTCGAAAAATATATCATCCTCGCCCTGCCCTTGTGACAAAACCCGGAAGAGCCGTGGTCAGATCCTTTTGGTATTCACCTACTAGCCGGAGGGTTATGAGTTCGAATCCCTTCGGAGATTCTTAGGAGACACATCAATGATGATTCCCAATAAGGTTGAAGCTGTTGTAAAACGCTTCCCTGTCTTTTCACATAGTTTGGCTTAATTCACAGAGAGACATTTCGATTGAAGACACCCCACTCATCAAATCATATCAATAAACTCTAAATAGATCAGAAAGAACGATACTCGCACGATGAGTGAATCTTCTGTTAACGGAGTCATCACCCCAGGAGGCAGTTAGAACGTAATCACGTGGCGTTAATCCGATGAATGAACGACTAGTTGTGCTTCATTCCAAGTTTGAGTTGCCACAGTGCTGATCAGTTAGTCGTTATGAAACCATGTATTCGTAATCTACAACTAGTTAGTTCGAATGTGCCTACAGATTTATGAAATGCGCACTGGAGCTCATTTCCCACAAGCAGCCACTAGCTAGCTGCTAAAATCAAAAGTCAGATCTGCACTTAACCTTCAGATTGTACTGCTCATTACAGGGGCGCGTAGTGAGTGTGGGAACCACAGGGGGACCAGCTTGACCCCGGTCGTAACGAGACTGTTGGTGTCAGTCGTGCTTCATCGCATTACGGTGGCTCGTGAGATACTGACTTGATAGCAGAAAGCGGGATTCCGGCCTGGAAGGTTTCGTGTTGACCAAATCTTCACACTGCGTCAGGTGCTAGAACAACGCCCTACGTCTAAGCGACCCACAATTCTAGTATTCCTGGATTTCCGAGGCGCATTCGACGCTTGTCCACCAAGGAATGTCCCGGAAGTTTGTAAACATAATACGTTCTTTGTAGTCTCAAACTTCCGGATGTGTGGGAGTGTACGGAGAGCTCTTCAAAAGCTTCCGCACACAAAGCGGTGTCCGTCAGGGATGCCCACTCTCTCCATTCCTTTTTAACTT